TTTTTTTTTTTCTGAAACGTGAAGATACTGAAAAATTTTAAAAGTATATTTTTCTGTTTCTTTCCTTTTTTTCTTTTTATCAACAAACTGCCTTTAGTTTATGAACCAACTCTCTCTCTTATTTTCTCCATCTTCTTTTAAATAAGAGGAAAATGGAATAGCTGCCACTTATCAGAAAGCACCGGTCTACTGTTATAGAGTTTTTCAACAGAAGGTCATCTTATATCAGTTTCCGGCTGGTTTTCAGCTTACCTATTCTAGTTATTTTTTGTGCTGACAATGTCCTGTGTTTCTTTGTCATTATTTTTAACTGCCACTCTGAGTTTGCAAAGAATTCATGTTTTGTCGCTGAAAACTTGAGTACCTAAGTTTGGGTTCAGAAAAAACTAGGTGGAATGTAAGATTACACGTACTTCAAGAAATTCAGGTCTCAAATTTTAAGCTTCTTTTTTACTTTTCTGTATTCACTACAGAAATACAAAAAAAAAAAAATTTATTTTTATTTCACAGTGGAAAAAATTCGGCGAAATATCAGGTTGGAGCTGGTATTCGTCATTGGTCGTAATCATCTTTATAAGTGACAATTAGGAGGTGAACTGATAATGGTCTTTAAAAGTTGTTTTTTTTTTTGAGCGTCTAATTTTCAGCTTTTTAGCATACTTTAAGCGTTTGAGTAGGCAAAACAGTGACATTTTTTAGGATCACTATTTATGGTAAGCTTGTTGTAGACTAGAAAAACGCGTAAAATACTTGGTATTACTATGACAGATTTTAAAAGAGGGTGAGTATTTTGGTTTTGAAGACCTAAATAAATTTAGCTGTAAAAAGATGAGAGACTATCTTGATATCTCATTTTTATTGGTTATGCAGAAGTTGAAGTATCGTTTTTGATTTTCAGGTTGGTATATTAGAAGCAGTTATTGAGTCTTTATAGATGCTTTAATCTTCACAACCCACTACTGATATTTACAGCGGAAATAGGCGGATGAAATTTTTTTTTTTGAAACTTCCGTTAACTTTTGCAGACGTCGTTTGGTTAACATTATTCTCTTTCTCTTTC